CAATGGGTAGTGGTGCTCCCCATGATCAGCAATGGGTAGTGGTGCTCCCCTGTGATCAGCAATGGGTAGTGGTGCTCCCCGTGATCAGCAATGGGTAGTGATGCTCCCCGTGATCAGCAGTGGGTAGTGATGCTCCCCGTGTTCAGCAGTGGGTAGTGATGCTGGCCTGTGGTCAGCAGTGGGTAGTGGTGCTCCTCCACAGACTTAAGACCTGATAAGATTTCCTGCCACCTCACAGGAGGTTGCTTGGACGCAGGGAGCATGAGCTAGAATAACAGGAATTAATTCAATGCCAGACAGGTCAGGCAGGGATGGATCTTCCCTTCACACTGCCAGCCGGGCTGAGGCAACCCTCGCTGCCTGTTCTGGTGCCTGTGGAGGCTTGTGCCATGCCGTGGAGGTCAGCATGCTCCAGGCAGGTTGTCCAGCATGTGGCATCAGGCCAAAAGGACCCTTGGTGTCTCTTCCTCCCTAAGCAGTGACCCCAGCAGGGTGCTGCCACCTCGGCCCTGCTCCGGCACCCCTCAGCCCCAAGTTCTCTCAAACCACTGTTCGTGCCTTGCCAGGGCAGCAGGGCAGCCTTGCTGCTAATGCCTTGGGGATAATGTGGCAGCAGCACCTGCTTTGGGCATCTCTTGGGGTCCAGAGTCACCCTGGTTGTGCCCATGGGATTTTTCCAGGCTGGCTGTAGCCTGGGTGCAATTTCCCTGCTCAGCCGGGATCTGCTGGAGAGGGACTGGCTGAGAAAGCACATTCCTGGCAGCACAGGGACCCGCCTCGAGAGCAGGAGACCAAAGGGAATGGGACAAGCAGGGTCACCTTTCTCCTGGCCTATCGGGGACAAAGGATGGAGGATGCCAGTAGCTGAGCAGACTGCAAGGGGAACTCCTAGCAGTGCTCCCATGTCACGGTGTCCCATGCCCGATGGCAGCCTTCCCAAGCACTGAGTAAACAGCTCTCCTTTGTATTTCCCAATTTAGTTACATCCTACCAGATATAACTGAGCCAGAGTAAACAGGGAAATCATGTTTCAAAGCATGTTGGAGGCGCTTTTCCACATGCCAAGGACTCATAGCCTCATGTGTGCCAAAGTGGGGGCACACATGGGGAGGTTCCTGCTCTCGCCATGCTGATGGTTGGGCATGCCAGCCCAGGCAGTACGGCAGCAGTGGCTCCTCTCCGTTTCTGTAACTCTCCTGCTGTCTCTTTTCACACAGATTTGGTGGGTCAAGCCAGCGACCGGACTCCACTGCTCATCAGAATTGTTCTCAGCTCTGTCGAGGCCTCGGAGCTCCTTGCAGCAAGGAAGAGGACAGGTAAATTTTACCCCATATAAAATAAGGTCTCCAGCTCTAAAAGATGTTCTTACCTTAACTCACTCAATGACAGTATTTGGTGATGCCCTCTGGGTTTGGCACCCTCCACCTCAGTTTGTGCCTCAGGCCCAGGCCGTCTCTCCATCCCCTCAGAGTGCAGTGCTGCCTGTCACTGATGGTGGAGCTGGAGGGGCTGGGAGCAGCTCTCACCCATCTGCAGCACCATAACGCTGCAGCCGCAGCGCTTGGCAGAACAGCTCCATCCCAGTACTGCTGGGCATGTGGGCCGTGCAGCCACATGCTTTGGATTCACTTCCTGTGCCAAAGCCTGTCCAACTTTGGGGCTGTGGCCTTGTTCTTGCCCAGGTGGAGGCCAGTGCAGTGGTGGCGCCAGCCCCAGACCCTTCTGTTACCTGTCGCCTCCTTCCCCAAGCACCACACAGCTCTGGGCAGGTGTCTGTGCGCAGCCAGGTGCTGGTGTCTCTTCTAAAGGCACTGTCCTTGCAGGGCCACCCTGAGCCATGTCCAGTGACCCTCCACCGCCCTACCCGGGAGGCCCCTCGGCGCCACTGATAGAAGAGAAGCACGGCCCCCCCCCCGCGGCAGGTACAGGCGCTGGGTAGCACTGCTGGGCACTGGGCAGGTTTCCCTGGGCATGGCCACTCGCAGCTCTGACTCACAGTGTGCTCCGCTCTGCTGGGGAGCATGGTGGGATACCGGACTCCTGTCTCCGTGCCACCCTCTGGGGAAGGTGGGAGGGCCCAGGGGCAGTGGCAGCAGCCAGAAGCACTCCCTGCTCAGAACCTGGCTCTGCTCGCTGCTATGGGGTGCATTTGGGCTTCCTGTGGCCCAGAAGATGAGGCCCAGGGGGTGCTCCCCATCCCATATTGTGTTCCCCAACTTCCGCGCTGGGGCCAACCCCCAGACCACTCAGCTGAACCACCATCAGCTCTGCAGCCTCCTGCCCTAGCTGCCGACTCTGTTTCCTTTCAGATGGCGCCCCTCCAGTTGTGGGACAACCCCAGGGGGTTCCCATTCCTCCTCCTGAATTTGGGCCCCCACCATACGAGCCACCCTCGCATCCAGGGTTCATACCCCCCCACATGCCCACAGACCCCTCTGGACCCTATGTGCCACCAGGTAAGTCCTTAAGGGGTTGTGTGAAGCAGGGGGTGGTGTTGGGCAGGACCCCCCCAGAAGCATGTGGCTCCCAGGGAGCAGGGTGGGGCAGACACAATGGGGGTTGGGGCTTGCAGAGGGGCTCCTCAGGTAGGTGGCTTGGGCAGGGTTGGCCCCAAGTCCATACCTGGTGTGGCAGCCAGGTGGCCCCCAGTGAGGCTATGGCCTCTCCTGCCATGCACAAAGACACTCACCTGTGCACGTTTCTCATTGCAGCAGGTTACTACCCCCCGCCAGGCCCTCACCCCTCCATGGGCTACTACCCCACCCCAGGCCACTACCCCTCTTCTGGCGGCCACACAGCCACAGTGCTGGTCCCATCAGGGACTGCCACCACCGTGACAGTGCTGCAGGGTGAGATCTTCCAGGGCGCCCCAGTGCAGACCGTGTGTCCCCACTGCCAGCAAGCCATCACCACCAAGATCACCTACGAGATCGGGCTCATGAGCTTCCTTCTCGGCTTCTTGTGCTGCTTTGTTGGGTAGGTGCTGGAAGCAGAGCTGCAGTGGCAGAGGGTCAGGGCAGGGGTACACATGGGCTGTCTCTGGGTGCCTCAGCTCACCGCACTCTGCCTCTTGCTGTGCTCCAGGTGTGATCTCTGCTGCTGCCTGATCCCCTGCCTGTTCGATGACTTCAAGGATGTGACACACACATGTCCCAATTGTAAGGCCTACATCTACACGTACAAGCGCATGTGCTAACAGCACCCCAGGAGCCCGAGCCACTGGAATGACACCGACCCCTCTCCCGCTGCTGTCCTTGTCTCCATGTGTGCAACACTCCTTTGCTTAACTCTCCGGTGGTGTGTGTGTGTGTGTATCCCTGGCTCCCCCCAGCTCAGAGCTGCGACTGTCTTCCCAGCCTCTGTTCCTCGCTATGAACGGTTGGATTGGTCACGCGGGTGCACAGGGAAGGTGGATGCGGGCCCCAGATGCTGTGTATGGGGCATTGCTCTGCACCCCCATCATGCTCCCAGGAGAGGGGTGCCAGTGAGGCCCCTCTTGCCTGGAGCAGCAGCTGCTGGAGGCACCTACCCCTGGGTCCCCCAAAGTGCAGGGGGTATGTGGTGGGAGGGAGCTGTTGCAGGCAGGGGCAGGTGTTGCCAGGAGGGGAGAGGGGACTCAAGCAGCCCACAGCACACACAGGGGAAGCACTTTTAGGAAGGGGTTGGGTCGTGGCACGGAGACAGGGCAGCACCACACGTGCCAGGTTTCAGTGTGAGTCATGGCCTTCTCCAGCCAGGACAGCATGTAGCCCGTAGGCAGAGCCACCTTCAAGGCATAGTGTGTGTGAGGACACGTGGCAGCAGCACTGCACCCTTGATCAGCACCTCCGTCCTGCCTGAGCAGCCCAGCAATCACTGCAGTGCTGCTCCAGCTGCATGTGCCCCTGCTGCCGCTCTTTTGGTGCGGGAAAGCCCCTGGCAGCCTCTGAACCCCCTGCCCACTGTTAGTGACAACTGCCCCCGCCATGCCCCTGACTGCCCAGCGCTGGAGGTTAGGTTGGTACCAGGCCCTGCTGGCTCGCAGCGCTGCAGCAGAGCCACGGCCTGAGCCCAGCCGGGGCTGTTGGGCGTGCACCCTGCACCACCCGTCCTGCCACCAACACACCTGCTGGGATTCCTCATTGCATGTGGGTGTAGGGGTTTAGTTTTAGCACACGTGATAGGGGCTGAAGAAGGGGGCAAGCAGGCAGTGACAGGAGCTGCCTGCAGCACTGTGACAGATGAGGGCAAGGGAAGCCAGGAGTGTTTTCGGCCTCTGTGGCAGCTCCTCCCTCCCCAGGCCCCACAGCCAGGGCAGCCAGAGAGCACAGCCCCTGGAGCAAAACAGGAGTCTCAGTCCATAGGTCTGCATTCACAGCTGGGCCTGCACAGGCAGCTGCCCTTTGCTCAGAGGTGGAACTGTGGCACTAGTTTGTGTTTTTACATAAATAAATAACAGACCCTCAACTCTCCTGTGCGTCTTTCTTCTCCCCTGCTCCAAATCTACAGCAGATCTGTTCCCAAGGGAAGCTGAGGATAAGGAAGGATGGCATGGCATGACTGGGCACAGCAGTACCAAGCACTAGAGGAAGAACAGCCCCAGCGGCAGAGGCTCCGGGGGTCACAGCTGTCAGCTGCAGTTGGGGTCACCCCACCTCTGCCCTCTATTTGTGCCCAGACACTCAGCTGAAAAGGAGAAAAGCCCCTGACACTGGGATGGAGGAAGGCAGAAGGGTGTCCCCTCACCCAGCCCAGGGGCCTTTCTGCCCTGGTTCTTGTCCTCAGCAGAGCTGGGGATTCCCTTTCTTCCAGGAGAGGCAGCAGGGACAGAGCCAGGTGTAAGGGCAGAAGCATCTGCAGGAGTCAGAGGTGAGTACAACAGCACCAGGGGCTGTCCCCACTCTGCTTCTCCCATTGACCTCCCCCCCCCCCCCCCCAGCCTTCCACATCCCACCCCAGCCCTGCACCTCATGGTGGTCACTCATTGGCCCAGGGACGTGCTTTGGCCTTACCCCAGCTACAGCATTGCACCTTTTTATTCTAGTCAAGGCTTCAGAAAAAAAACAACCCAACTCCACTGCAGCACAACAGACATCCCTCACCCCCATCCCCAATGGTCCTGTCCCCCATGGACCTTCCTCCCTGAAGTTAACTCCAGTTAACTGGATCCCTGTGACACAAACAAATAGGCATTTGAGCTAATAGCACACAATCAACACTTCAGTTTCCCTCAGGGTAGGATACCTCGTGCTCTTCACTGAGAAGGCTGACAAAGGTTGCAGCCCACAGCAGGAAACTCCATCCAGCAGCTGCTCCCAGGAAAGAGATGGAAATCCAAGTGAGTGAAGCCTTTGCCAGTACAGCAGAAGACAGCTCCAGCCTTAAAAGCTGCCCCAGCTTGGGCAGGGAAGTGCTGCAGGGGAATCCTCACACCATCAGTCCTGTACACTAGTCAGCTAAGACATTACATTACAGTGCTTGCATTATCGGTGTGCAAAGAGTCTTTAACAGTCCCACAAGATTCCTGTTTATTTTCTTACTTCCACCATGCAGTCAACAGCACTGGCAAGGGAACAGCTGGAAAAGGACATGGTGTGTCTCTCCCCTTCCCACAACCAGAGCCACAGACCACTACTCCCATCACATCATGTACCAGGCTGCAGCTCCTGCCAGCACCGCGACACAGGCGGCCAGCATCAGCTGCACCAGGGGCTGCTTTGCCAGGGCCATGGCGCCATGGTAGGGACAGATGGGTCCTGCGTTACCTGCTGGAACACAGAACGTGCCGTTAGTGCTGCAGGTCTCACGCCACACGCATGTGGCAGCTGTGTCGTCATCCACAACCTACCGAGCTTGTCTGCATAGTAAGGGCATTTGCGCAGGTCTCCTTTTCCATCGTGGACTGGAAGGCCTCCATCTTGGGCTTCTGCCAGTGACTTGCCAATCTTGTCCAGTTCATCAAACACCTGCAAGTGGCCACAGCATGTACATGAAGTGGGCAGAGGGAGGTGGCTTTCACCCAGTCCCTGGAACAACCTGGAGAAGAGGCAAGAGCCTCTCCTGCCTCCTTCCCCAAGAGGCAGCACATGCTTCTCACTTTGGAGTGTCTTGGCGGGCACTGTCTGTGGTGACACCTGGCACGTGCTATAGCTCTGAGAGGGCACAGCCCCTTCAAGAGCATCAGGCAGACCCAGGAGTGAGACAGATGCAGCGCGGCCCCACTGCTCACTGCCCAGCCTGCTGCGGGTGGGAGTACAGGCAATGCACTCCCTGCTGCAGACCCTCCCTGAGAGGACTGCTTCTGGTCATGCAGGGTTCAGGCAGCCCCTCCAGCTCTGCTGCAAAGGGCTTCCCTAAGGATCCTGACAAAGGAGCCACATTTCTGGCCAGCTTAGACCACAGTGACCTGCTACCGGCACAGATGAAAGCTTCCATCCAGTATCTAAGACTATATTCATCCTCCTGGAGCAAATGGCAGCTCAGTCAGGGTTTATGAAAGGCAAATACTATGAGGAGGACAAGAGGCTACAGACATTTCTGTCCACTGGGCAGAGTGTCAAGACTTGAGACAGGAGATTAATTGTAACCAGCGTACGTAACAAGCTCAAACTGGTTGGGGATGTCTCAGAGCGAGAGATCTGCTCTCCCCTGGTTTCAGAGCTAACAGCCCACGGAAAATCTTGCAGTGAAGTCATCTCAATTTTGCCCTAATAAAAGGCTCAGCAGTGATGTTGGAGCATGGGAGGAATTCCTGCCCACCATCAGCCATGTCTCCAGAAGCTAGCAGAAGAGCTATTTAAACTAGAACCCCAGCCCCCAGGGAAGGAGGGGCTCTGGTGGCCTCAGACCCAAACCACTGCCTGGGTGAGCAGGCTGACTCAATCTGGACCCAAGAGCTGGTCCAGACTCAAAAACAGCAGCACAGAGGGGCTCAAGGGATTTCATACCTGCATGTTAAATCTGAAGGCTCTGTTGGCTTCTTCCACAATCCTTTCTTTGGTGTTCTTGTCGAAGTCCAAAGCGTTCATCCTTGCCCTGTAGAGCTGCTTGAACTGCTGCACATTGGAGATGTTACCAAACACATAGAACTGGATCCCTTCCTCAGTACTGGGCAACTTGAGGGCTCTCTGGGCTACCTTCTTCAGCACTTGGCCACCCGAGAGGTCCCCCATATAACGTGTGTAAGCATGAGCCACTAGCAACTCTGGCTCATTCTGTCCCACATGATGGATTCTGTCCACATATAGCTGAGTTGCCTCTGAACACTGGATCTTCTCTTTCCAGTCTTCTCCATAGAAATATTGCAGGTCTTTGATCAACGCTTCTTTCCGGTGAAGCTCTAGGGGGAAGTACAGAGGAGCAAAGACCGGGTTGTCCTCATTGCGATCCATTTCCTCTTCCAGAGCAGAGTACGTGAAGTAAAGTGCCACAGTGGCCAGCTACAGACAAAACACAGTGTGAGAAGCCATTCACTACATCAGCATATTACACCTTCTGGCTGCCCCCGTCTGCACAGTCCTGGGGTAAACAAGGAGGAAACTCCCAGGCTTGACACAAAACCAGCCTGGAGATGTGCGAGGCACAGATCGTTTGAAGGATGACAGGTTCTTCTCTAGCTACATTCACAGAATCATAGAATCACAGAATAGTTAGGGTTGGAAAGGACCTTAAGATCATCCAGTTCCAACCCCCCTGCCATGGGCAGGGACACCTCACACTAAACCATGCCACCCAAGCCTCTGTCCAACCTGGACTTGAACACCGCCAGAAATGGAGCATTCACAACTTCTCTGGGCAGCCCATTCCAGTGCCTCACCACCCTTACAGTAAAGAATTTCTTCCTTATATCCAATCTAAACTTCCCCTGTTTAAGTTTGAACCCATTACCCCTTGTCCTGTCACTACAGTCCTTAATAAAGAGTCTCTCCCCAGCATCCCTATAGCCCCCCTTCAGATACTGGAAAGCTGCTATGAGGTCTCCTTGCAGCCTTCTCTTCTCTAGGCTGAACAGCCCCAGCTTTCTCAGACTATCTTCATACGGGAGGTGCTCCAGACCCCTGATCATAACGATGCCTTCAGAGCACAAAGAATTAGCCTCATGTTGCCAGCTCTGTGCTCTGGGGGGGTTCCTCCTGTTACCTTGAGAGCAAGGCACAGGGACAAAAGGTACAACTAGCACCAACAGCTTTGTGTTACAGGAGACTACTGTAAATGCCAAAATCTTCAGGATCGGACCCAAAACACCATCTCTTCTGTACAGAAGATAGAGCAATCCAACTGGAAGTCTATGGAAAACAGCTTAGTCTTCAGAGGATGGAATGAAGCGCTGCAGCCACACCTGCCCTTGTGGCCAGCAGATGCATGGCCAGCAGCCTAGCACTTCCACCTAATCAAACTTGTGCTGGACCAGATTGCTCCTCATCCCCCTACCCCAGCCATAGGATACACCAGGCAGAAGTCCTGGACAAGTGCCCTCCTACGGTTTTGACTATGCCACCTAGAAACTGGATTCCTCGCCACCCCTTGCACACAGGGCTGCAGGGCCCTGCCTGAGTCTGCATCAGTCACTGGACACATCAAAGAGCTGCTCTGCCACGGGAGCAGAGCAACACTCACCTTGAAGAGCTCCTCCTTGATCCGTCCTTTCAGAAAGTCTTTGACAAACTGGGTGTTCTCCGCATGGTCATGGGATTCCTTAGTCCCCTCCTTCAGCAGCTCTGAAAGGTCAGTGGGACTGCAGGCAAACAGGGAGAGCGCCTTTTACCCCACTTACACCCACAGGAATGAGTTTGTTCCTCCTGTGTTTGGAGGGATGCCCCACTCACTGCCACCTCCAGCCCAATTTGGAGAAGGTACAACTTGGGATTTCTGGAACAAGGCAGAACCAGGAGGGTGGCAACAACCAGAGGTTCCTTCTACAGATGCAGGCACCCATGTGCCAACCAGACTTGCCATTCCAGAAGTGCTGGGCCCACCAGGGGCTCACCACAAACATGCTTCAGCAATTGACAAGCATCCTCTGACCCCTGCACCTTACTTTTGCTTCTCATCCATGAATGAGAAGCATCAATACTTCAAAAGGAGGCCTTGAGCATACTAGGAGCAACCACCAGGGAAGGCTAAAAGGCACAGAAGCCTTACTGATTACCCTTCATGGTCACTCTGTAGAAGGAGAAAGGCTCATGTAAGAGAAGATGAGAGCTGAACAGAAAAACAGGGAAAGAACACCCTGAAAAAGTGTACTTATCTGGAATTTTACTGGTTTTGCAGGTTTCCACAAGTCAGCTACTAAAAAGAATAAGTAAAATCTATGATTTTAGGCTATAGCCACTACACCTACCTGGAGTTTGGTACAGAGTTAACAAATGCGCTCAAAATAACACCAAATTGCACTTTACGGGTTTTCTGACTAGTCTGCTACAGATAGCTGCAAGAGACACTCCAGACACACCAGTGGCCATGCAGCCAGGCAGCATGAAAGAAACTGTCTCAAGTCAAAGAGAAGTCAACTAGCACAGAATATCTAGGTATTCTGGGAAGCACCCTGCTCACTCTTCCCAAGTCTGAAGCCTCAACTTTCCGAGCATGTGTGTGCATTTGCTGTTTAAACTAACCTCCAAGACAACAGTCTTGCCTAAACCAGTGGGCATTCTGCAAAGGCAAGACAGGCAGCTGGCTGGAGCATAGTTCACCTCTAGGGTCATCTTTCAAACCAAGAAGCTGCCATCACGAGTCTGCCCAGCAAACCATGGAAAACTGGCTCGCCTTGGCCAGCAGGACACAAACACAAATGCCAAATGGTCAAATAATTTCTGAAGGGCAAGTGATAGTAGAGACTCAACTGGTTGCTGCCAGCTTTAGCCAGATTACTCCTTCCCATCCCTGCTGGTATACTTTGATTAAACAGATTTACTGCACATATATATTTGATTAATCAGCTGTTGGAGTCCCCCACCTCTTTTCAGATGAGGAGAAAGATCACCCCTTAACCTGGAAGGTCTCCTGAATACCAAATACTGTCTGTTCCAGATTGTGAGACAGGACTCACCTGACATCATCATCATCTGTTTCCTCATAGCGCAACATTTCCTCTTCTCCTGTCTCTGTGCTCTCCATTGCAGGCAGTATTGCTGGTTAGCAGTAGAATTAGACAATCTGAAAGGCAAAACCAGAGAGGGGTTTTAGACGGAAGCTGCCTTCACGAAGGGATGGGTCTGAAATGCGGAGCCATACAGCAAGCAGCCTCTGAGCTGCTCCACCAGGCAGGGTGGTGAGGAGCAGCCACTGGCCATTTCCACGGCACAGCAGGCACTTTCAAGGAAGCAATCTTGCTTGCTCAGTTAAATTACCCCAGTGAACCGTAACACTAACACCACCCAGCTGACCAAATGTTAGCCTCAGAGGAGACCTACAACACAGCACGCTGCATTTGGTTTCCCACTTCAGGATGGCTCCTGGCTGAAAATGATCAGAGACCTCCACATTAGCTATCTGCACCGAAATTGTGAGCAAGCTGCTTTCCACTGGTGCTACTAAATATTTTATCCAATGCCAGACTCTGAGCAGAGCTACTTCATTTTCACAGTGATACAGAGCTTTCCCTAGAGGAAAGCTGTGGTGAATTAGAGCAGGAGTCAGGCATCTCACAGGGAGACAAACACCTTCGCTACAATGGAGTATACGCAGACGAACTTCCAAAGCAGGGGCAGGTTTCACTGCTCTGCCTTTTCTGGCCTGTACTGCATGTGAAGAGTCAAAACGGCTGCTGCAGATGGCTCCTGCTACCACGCACACTCTCCTCTCCTGCCTAGCAGGGTTAACTTGAAACCCCAGAAGTAACTGAGTTCTCCCTCCTCTTCTGCGAAGAGAAACAAACAGAAAAAATCTCCATGGATGTAGCAGGACACCCAAAGAACTACCCAGAAGCAGGAGTGAGACACTGGGCTTATAGCTGAGGTTCCTCTTAAGCAGAAATCCACCCACCTCATTTACAAAATGGACCTGTAATCAGCTTTGTGCAGAGCAGCACCATCACCTTAGAGGCAGCCTTGCCGGATCAACAGGGAACTAAGCTGTTTCCTGGCTCTTGGAAAGCACTCACTGTAAGAGAGCCAACCCTGATGCTCTCCCATTCGAGGTCAGCCCCCTCAAGGACAGAAGAGCAGGCAGGCAGCTGCAAGTTCACCAAGCTCAGCACGGGGCCAGCACCAGTACATCAGCTGCTGGATCCCAGCTCACATGGAGCACCCCAGCTATAAATGAACTGCCCTCTGGCTCCTCTCTGAGTTTCTGAAGCCCTGTTCTACAACCACTTCCATTGCCCTCCACACTCCAGCACAGGACTCGGCCAGGAGCGCTTTGAGCTGGGTCCGAGCACCCAGTCTGGAGGACACATCACCAGGGTGAGGGTTTCCCCTGTGATCACACAGTCCTTGGGCTCACTGGGACAGAGCCTTCCCCAAGGGGAGGACTGACCACAAAACACTACCTTGTGATGCCAGCCAGCCCACTGCAGGAACAGAAGTCACAGGGGAAGCAGCCCAACATCCCCAGGGCCCTGCACCACAAGATAGGACACAGCACAGCCTCCCCAGCCAGAGGGCAGAGGAAGACAGGTTCAAGGGTGCTATTTTCATTTTGATAACTCGATGGACAGCAAGCACCACACCAGGTCAGCAAACTTGTCACAGCTCCAAACATCCACCATGGGGAAAGGAAACTGAAGCAAAGTGGCAGAACCTGCCCAGGCTGAGCCAGGTGCCGGTCACAGGCCCAGGGGAACAGCCTGCCTGCCTCACAGCACAGCCAGCCTCCTGCCAGCACAGCTGCACAAGTCCTGATGGCATCCTGGCTTCCTGCACAGCTGGCTTCAAGTCAGGCACTCCTCAAGAAATGCAGATTACAAAATTAAACTAGAGAAACTGGTTCCAATTTATCTTACACTTCCAGACAGGCAGAGTCCTGCAGGTAGGGTGTGCTGCCTCTGCATGCTGCCAGGCCTGCAGCCACTGGCACACAGGAGCAGGTGAGAGCAGAGCTACAAAGAGCACTTCAGCACCATCCTGCAGACAGCAGGAGGCCTGGAGATGGTTTGACATTACATCCAACCCAAAGGAAGCCACCAGATCAAGCCTCAGACATGACTAGTTAACAGCCGCAGCAATGGCTCAAGGCTCCCAATAGCCAGACATAAACAGTGTGACTCCAGAGATCATCATTCTACAAGACGCATCTGCTAATTCACTTGACAGAGCCTCTGCACCCGTGTCTTGCAACACACTCATGTTTAGCAGCACTCACCACACCGGGACTTTGCTCTCCATGCCATGGGGCATCTGCTGGGCTCTCAGAAGCCTTTACCCAAACCTGTAACTACTATTGTAGAAGCACAACTCAGAGAAGCGAATTAGTGTTCCAGCAGCAGTGTCTGCTGCTGGAAGAATGGGTTAGCACACAAATAGTCATTTAGACTTTGGCGCAGTCAGACTCGTATCTCCCACAACTGTTTTTGCAGATGCTCCATCTGACATGATCACCTCTAGAGCGATAGGCAGGACAATGACAGCACCAGTCCCTTCAGCCCAAGGGGAGGACACTACATACACAGGGCAACATGGAAGCTGAGATTTTTCCCAGTACGATCCAGCATAGACATGATGAGCCGTGAATTCAGGAGACAAGTCAGCACAAATCAAACCCCTGTCCTTTTCAGTACTAAGGTATCACATGAGAACTCAGAGGAAGGGAAGTAAGAATCACTGCATCTCTTACCATTACACATTCCTTTTATTCAGATACTGGTAGCTAAAAGCCCACAACACGGTCACTCCTCAGGGCCCTCATTTCTCATGGTTCTGCTCCCCTGCAAGAGGCAGTGTCCTACTAACCAAGCAGGCAGCTCGAGCTGCTGCCCACTTCCACTGCAGAGGCTGGAATGACATTTCATTTGCTTCATGAGCAATGCTCATCAAGACCTGGCTGATGTTCACGGTAAACACATACCTTCCCGGTGTCTTACCAGAAGCCTCCTGGGAGGAATCCAACAGCTACAAGAGGCAGGATAGTGGGGCTACAAATTGGAGACAAGGCTTAGTACAAAACACCTCAGCACTCCAAACATTTCTTTCCCAATAACAGTGTTCAAACCCTCAGAGAAAACATCCCTGTTTCATCTAGCCAGCACTTAGTTTGCCCCAGACACATTTCCACAGCAAGTTTCATGCTCAAGATACACAGCCATTCTTCTTAGGGCAGGAAGATGCTTAATCCCAACACTCCAGTGCCTTTTGAACGAAGTTGACACTGCTGGGGCAGGGAAGCAGGACTGAAGGCCTGGTTTTGCTTTGGCACCCTGTCGAGAAGCTCAGTAATTTGCAAACACCCAGGTGGTACAAGTTCAAGTTTGCTGTTCAACCAGTTTACAAATTCAGGCTCTTTCCCCACTTGCATCCTTGCTTTAACAAGCAGCAGCAGAATGTGGCTGCAGATAGCCAATCTTCACTGCAGTGGAGACAAACCCCAGAAGCCCAGACCTAGCAGCTTGAAGAGCCTCACAAAGGTAACCTGGCACTCACATCAGAAGAGCTTCAGACCTTCTCCCTCCTCAAATGGGGATGTTTTGGTGCTGGAAATGGGGCCTCACAGAATAATTTTTACACTGCCTGATCCCAGGGAGGTTCAAGACTTCACCTGAACATAGCCTACATCTAGGTAATAATTCAAGTCTAAGGCACTTTCAGAGGTGCCCACCTAAACGCTACCCCTGTCCCCAGAGCCACAGTCCAGCACCTCATCAAAGGGACCAAGGAGGGAAACTCCTGGTAAGTTCACAGATCTTGTCCAGTTCCGCACTTTGGTCATCAGCCCTTGTGCCAGGCACTGCATCCAGAATCTGTCTTCTCATACTGCCTGGGAGAACAGCACAAGGGGCACATCAGTCAACCAGCTTCGCACCTGGGGAGAGTAGGGATGGAGTGTGACAGGCACACATGAACTTCCTGAACAGCCTTTGTTCTGGGGATAGCCAGTACTTGCCCTGCCCATCTCAGCATGCAGTCAGCTGTGCCCAGGACACCCCAAGCGGGGCCAGTGACAGGCACTTATAGCTGATGTATGTAAAGCAGCTTTGTGCTGGGCACTATGAGGCTTGAGTAAGATATCGGTATCACCCAACAAAGGAGAAGCTGGGGCAGCAATAGGCTTCATAGGCCTTCGTCCTTCAAGCTCTTAGTCGAGCTCAGCAGGATCAAAAATTGTAGAACAGAATGGCTGGGTTTGGAAGGGACCTTAAAGCTCATCCAGTTCTCAGCCATGCCATGGGCAGGGACACCTTCCACTAGCACAGGTTGCTCCAAGCCCCGTCCAACCTGGCCTTGAACAATGCCAGGGATGCAGAAGAGCCACGTGGCCCCAGGGCAGCAGTAGAACCCGGCATAGCTCCTGCCCTGAAACACTTAAGACATCCTCCTGGAGGAGCTGTGTGCAGACACCACTGCAGGGTATGCGGCAGCCGCTCTGGCACGCCCCCTCAGCTGCTGTTCGGACGCTCACCCTCAGGAGCTGAGGGAAGAGATGGAAGAGGCCTGACAAGCGCTGGCCCAGCACAGCCGCACACAGCCTCGCTGCTCCCGAGCACACGGCTGGCAGACGGCAGCACAGGACCCGGACAAGCTTGAGGACCAGGCCAGAGCCACGGGCGCTGCTCCCGGGACCGGCCGCCCAGGCATCGGGGGGCAAAGGCACACGAACACGGCCCACACGGGCTTCCCGGCCTAACGCAGCCGGTACCGGGCCTACATTTCCCAAGGAACCGGAATGGGGGGGCGGGCCCAGCGGAGCAGAGGCCCGCGGGAGGTGAAGGCGACCCGCGCGTAATCACGAGTGCCTCAACCCGGGGCCGGCCCCACCGCGTTACCATGGACACGCGCCGCTCGCACTCACCCTCTGCCGCAGCCCCCGCCACCCGCCCTCCGCCCCGCGGCGTGAAACAAACCCCGGCCCGGCCGCCCCGAATTTATCACCCACGGTGGGGACTGCGCAGCCAATCAGGAGCCGCCCGCAGCACGCGCCCGCGCCGCCGATTGGTGGAGGCGGCCGGGACACCACACAGCGGGCCTAGGTCCCCGCCTCGTTTCGCCTCGCCTCGGCCAACGGCGACCTCCGAGCGGCGCGAGAGGACCCGCCCGCGGGCGGCCGGCGCAAGGGTCCGCGCAGGCGCAGTCCGGAAAAAGCAACGCGGCGGCGCTGAACGTACGTTTATTGCGCGAAGCCATTGCGAGCGGCACCAGCCATGGGAGCCGACCCCGGGGGTCACCCGGTCCCAGCCCTGCCGCGGCAGAGGCACCTGAACGTGTCCAGGCGGGGCTTGGATGGGCCCAGAGAGGGAGCCTCCACATCCCCCTACGCAGCCTCTTCAGTGCTCTGCCACTGCAACAGAACCAGTTCTTCCTCATGACAAGTTCTTCCTCTCATGTGAAAGCTCTTGTGTTTCAGTTCATGGCCACTGCTCCTCATCCTGGGGCTGCCCACCACTGAAAAGAGTCGGGCACCTTCCTCCTGGCACCTGCCCCAAACCTCCAATAGGCTCCCTCCACAGCCTCTCCCCTTCTTCATCTCTGAGGGCTCATTCTCTTAGGAAGAAAGTGCTTTCACCCTCCACAAGCAGGGTGGTCAATGGGAGGGGGAGACATTGGGCTTTGCTCACAGGGTATCACACCTCACCGCTCCCCACACTCACCCCACCTAGGGATCCCCACCCCTGTGGGTCCGCTGGTGCCGGAAGAGCGCCGAGCTCACTCTGAAGCCCTTTCTGCACTCAACACAGATATAGGGACGCTCCCCGGTGTGGATGCGCTGGTGCTGGATGAGGTGGGCCCTCTGCCGAAAGCTGTCCCCGCAGTATGCACAGCAGTAAGGCCTCTCTCCGGTGTGGATCAGCCAGTGTTTCATGAGAGCGGAGCTACGGCCAAAGCTCTTCCCACACTCTGTACAACCATAGGGTTTCTCCCCAGTGTGGACCTGTTGGTGTCGTGCCAGGGTTGAGCTCAACCTGAAGCTCGTCCCACAGGTCCTGCACTCGTAGGGTTTCTCCCCAGTGTGCACCCGCTGGTGCTGGACAAGCTTCGAGTTGTCAGAGAAGCTCTTCCCACACTCGGCACACTTGTAGGGCTTCTCCCCGGTGTGGACACGCTGGTGTTGTGTCAGGGCTGCGCTGACTCTGAAGCTCTTCCCACACTTTGTACACTCATAGGGTTTCTCCCCGGTGTGCACACGCTGGTGCCGGATAAGCTGCGTGTTGTTGGAGAAGCGCTTCCCGCACTCAGCACACTTGTAGGGCTTCTCCCCGGTGTGGGTTACCTGGTGCCGGATCAGCTTCGAGCTCACACTGAAGCTCTTCCCGCACTCAGAGCACTTGTAGGGCCGCTCCCCTGTGTGGATCCTGTGGTGCTGGATGAGATGTGATCGGTGCTGGAAACTCTTCCCACATTCAGTGCAGGTGAAGGGTTTTTCTCCAGTGTGGATTCGCCGATGCTGGATGAGGTTTGAGCTCACCTGGAAGCCCTTGGATCTCTGAATCCTTTCTGTCCTGCGTGAGAGAACAGGGTCCTGTGCAGGACCATAGGAACTGTTCTCCTCAGATAGTCTTGAGCATAAACCCTTGGGCTCCACTAGCCTGGGTATGCCTTGATGGGCCTTGTCTTCATTCGTGCTCACAATCCCATCTTCAGCTGCAATAAAATGAGAATCCAGACAAGTCACAGGCAGGACTGGAAGCTTTGGACAGGGCAAATCGCAAGGGGCCAAATGCTAAAAATTCAGCAAATAGATTGACTTTAAGTATAAAACATTCTGCTATATCCTGCGTTCAGGACATGGTAATTATCTCCAAACTACACAGTGGATTTTTCAGAGTGTTCACAGGAGCAAATGCCATAAATTGCCCTGCATGCTTCACCGGAACCTGAATCTACTGAAATCACTGGCATATTAGAGGCAAAAGTTTACTGCTTGAATGGGAAAGATGCTTGCTCTTCCAGGATGGTGTACCTGAAAATCATAGAACCACAGGATGGTTTTAGCTGGAATGGACCTTACAGATCCCATCCAGTTCCAGCCTCCTGACATGTGCAGGGACACCTTGCACTAGACCACGTTGCTGCAAGCCCCATCCAACCTGGACTTGAACTCTGCCACAGATGGAGCACCACAGCTCCTCTGTGCAACCTGTGCCACAGCCTCAGCACCCTCACAGGGAAGAACTTCTTTCACCTTATCTACATCTCCCCTCTGTCAGTTTAAAGCCATTCCGCCTTCTCCTGTCCCTACTTGCTCTTGACAAAAGCCCCTCTCCCCATTTCTTGTTGGGCCCTTTGGGTGCTGGAAGCTGCTCTAAGATCTCCCCAGAGCCTTCTCTTGGCCAGGCTGAACAAGCCCAGCTCTCTCTGCTTGTTTCCAGAGGATGTTACTAAAAGTTGAACTGGGAGTCAGAGGAAGGCCGTGAACAACTGCCAATTACTTGGATTGCAACAGTAATCTCTGTGTTCTTGTGCTGCTGGTACTGCAGAGAAAGAGAAGATGCACAAGGTATGAGACACGGGCACCACCTGGAGCCTCGCGTATGCCACTCTTAGAGCAGAAGGCAATTAAATTTATGCTTTCACTGGTGCAGAACAAACCTGTTGGGCGTGCAAGGTGGTGGGTGAACTGAACATCCCCCATGGCTGGTTCCAGATCATGCAGTGAGGATATCAAATACATGAAGAAGATGAAGGTAGGGGCAAGTTGAATTAACGTTAGCTGAACAGTTACGAATGGCTCCTGGGACAAAGGCAATTAACAAATCCCTGCCTTCTCATGTACATAAAGTCTTGCAGAAGTGTTAGTGGTATGAATGTTCACTGCACAGACCCAAGATCACCTGAAAGCCTGCTCAAGACAAGTGCTGATTTCTAGAGTGTTCACAGAGAGCTGTGACTCCTTCCAGCCCACTGCTCTGAATGTGGTTTGATGAGCAGGTAGCAGGTTCCGAAGCACATGCCCTCAACAATGCTGTGCCTTTTGCTGTCCACAGGAAACATAGCTCTTTGCAGGCTGAATGAGCAAGGCAGGACCTGTGCGACATGCACACAAAGCACATCTCCAGATCTGCTTAAAGATTCCACAGATATCTTGTGGTTCTCTGAACACTCTTACGAAATAAACCAGTAATTTATCGGTCGCATGGGATTGCTGTACAAACCACAGGCATCCTCCTGTTGTCTGGCAGAGCTGTGAGAAGGAAGTGCAGGCCATGGAAGAGGTGAGGTGCTACTGAACCGTAAGTGTGCAATAAAGAGAGTCTAGAAGTTTGACCCCAGACTGATATATGTACATATTTCATCTTCCTCTTTCTAGGAAGCACAAGAAAACATCACAATATGATTTCACAGTGAACTCCTAAGATACCTTCCGTGGCAGCTTGCTGTGGTAGTGATGCCACTTCTTCCCTCACATAGTATTCATTAAAACCATCCCTTGAGAGGAACAGAAACTGAAATTTTGCTATTTACCATGAAGGCATTTCCATTTGTCTGCAGCTACTCCAGCCAGGCCTGAAGGAAAAGAGCAAGGTGATATTCACAGACAGGATGGAAAGAGGATGTTTCTGGCAGGCCAGCATGAAGCTCTTGACCCGTTCGTCAGACTTACTGACTAGACAGTGGAGCTAGCAAAGTTGTTCTGTTGCCATTGCGCCCAAAGAGATGCTAACTTTGGCACTTACACAGAAGTATGGTTCTTTACATAGACCATGAAAAAGCCTTCAGAAGTATGTGACAATTAAGTTTTGTATGGTGTTCTGTATTTTTGGGGGAAGATCAGGGGTGTCAGGATTCTTTTTACAATTACTGTCACGGCTCTAGCGCTTCTACAATCATTTCTGTTACTCCTGAGCTCTCAGGTACCTTCACTGGCATCTAGGACACGCTGTCTGTAAAGGCTTTGATCAAAACCAAGACAGGAACTCACTGGAAGTATTTCAAGTGGAAGGAGAGCAAGGTCACAATGATGAGGATTTAATACTAGAAGCATAAGGCTGAACTGGCAAAAATGAATAAGCAAGAGAAACATGAAGAATGTGGATCTTCCTCAGCCCATGCCAATTAGGGTTGATGGCAGGACCTCTGATATGCCCAAGAGTGCCAGTGCTATAGCTACAAGGCAAGCTCCAGGTAAGCAGAGTAAGCTGCTGGACTTCTGACTGTGGTACCTCACTGCTGGGACTAGAGGTGGCTGTTGTGATGCCACAGAAAGGGCTGGAGGGGAGATCTGGAGCCCAGCATTCCAAGCACACAAACAGAAATCTGAGCATAAGAATTAATGGACAGATGGCAATAGGACAGACTGGGGAAGACCTGGCACGGCCTTTGGAATGAGATGTCTCACTTCACAAACCACTCAGAGTTCTTCAGAGATGTCCCCAGCTTTATCAAAAGGGACATGTGGGGTCCAGAGGCATTCCCAAAAGACATTCATCCTTCGCCAAAACAGGTAAAGAACCTAAGCTGCTGTGGCATGAGTGAACCTCACAGGGTGCTAAGGAAGGGAAAAGGAGGTGGAAACATTTGCTGATGATTTTGTGTTCCTCAGGGTTAAAGACATAAAGGCTGACTACAAACTGTGGCACAGCCTTGAGATACTGACCAACCAGGTGACAGGAGACATTCACTGCAGGTAAACAAAGACCCATAGAGGAGAACAGCCTCTACAGCTTGCACTCACACCAGGCTGGGACTAGGATGTTCTTGATATCATTCAGGAATAGCACCTTGGAGTCTGAGCAGCTGGATGAAAACTGAAGCTCCTAGGCACACAACACAGCCAGTCAAGCAGCAATTAGTGCGGGGGGGGGGAAACAATAGGGAAGAAAAGAGAATGTAATTCTGCCTTGCTTCTCAAACCCCACATTCTTACTGTGTGCAAGCGGGAGGATGGATCCCCCATGTCACAGACACTCTGACAGAGCTGAGGAAGACAGAGGCATGACAGGAACCATCAGAGGCACAGAGCAGCTTCTGTATAGGAGATGAGTCAACTGCCCATTCTGCTGGGAAAAGGTACAGCTGACAGGGGGTATCACAAAGGACTATAAAAACACAAGTGGCCTGTGGGGTGGTTTGGCATCTATCCTGCATCACCTGTTCTAAATTAAGAACTCCTGCCAACAGGAAAAGGCACTTTCAAAGTAAACTAAAGGAGGCAGCAATTCATCACCTAAATAAGCTGGGGAACTCCTTGCTTGCTGCAAGCTGCCACGGCTGCTACAATGTGCACAGCTTGAGAAGGCAAGAAGATAGATCTTGAGACATTATGGGCCTAGTTCAGGAGCTTCTGAAGCCACAGATGGCTCAGGCCTGTGAAAGGATACAGGGACACATCACTGTTTGTCTGCCCTTCTCTGAGTCTTGATAAAAGGCTGGGCCTGCTGCCTGCTGTATGATTAAAGGCTGAGAGAGCTGGGCTTGCTCTGCCTAGAGAACAGAAGGCTCGGGGGAGACATGATCACCACAGTCCAGTATTTAAGGGTGCCTACGAAGAAAACGGGGGCTCCCTTTTCACAAGGAGTCACATGGAAAAGACGAGGGGTACAAGTTACTCCTGGGCAGATTCTGGTTGGACACAAGAGGAAAAGTTTTCCCTGTGAGAACAACCAGCCATTGCAATAATCTCCCCAGGGAAGTGGTGCACTCCCCAGTGTTGGACGCTTTAAAGACTCAGCTGGACAGGGCACTGGGACATCCAGTCCAGGTCATGCTTTGCCTGGAAAAGTTGTACTGGATGATCCTTGAGATCCCTCCCAGCCTGGTGCCCTGTGGCGCTATGAATACCGTCGCCACAGGCAGCAGGTGAAGCTGGACGGGCCCTGCTCCAACCCAGCACCTCCGCCCTTGTACATTCTGGGGGCGCTGGTGCTCCCGGAGCACTCTTTCTCATGACGGGTTCACACTGACGGCCCTTACCTGAGGTGCCGCTCAGAGCACTCTTCCCTTCGCAGGAGCGGGACAACCGCAGTTCCTCCTTCTGATCCATGTGGATGAGCATCTCCGGCGCCGCTCCGGGGAAAGAAACGAAGAGGGTCAGGCCAGCTGGGCTTTCACCGACCGCTACCAGCGGCGCGGCTCGGGAGCTAGCGGCTCCGCGACGAGCAGGGACCCCGGCTCCAAGGGGCGTGCAGCGGAAAGCACCGGGCCCCGCAGCACGCCCCTGCCAGGGAGGCTCACGCGGCCGCGGGGGGCGGGCTTCCGGGCCAAGCCCTACCGGGTCAGGCCCCGCTCCCTGCGGCCCGGCCAGGCCCGCCCTCAACGCCTGGGCCGGCGCACCAGGGGGGTGCTGCCCCGTGACGGCAGCGACCAGCGACGGGCGGTGCTTTCGCCTCCACGGCCGGAGGGAGATGGCGGCGCTGGGCTTCCGGTGGCGATGGTGCCGTCCTACGGTGGGGCTCCCCCCGCGGGCCTGCCGGTACCGAGTGATATAAGGAAAGCAACTGCCTGGAAAACATAGGGTTAAAATACTTTTAACTTCACTTAGGTCTGAGATAAAGAACAATGTTTGAGTTGTATGTCTGTGGTGTCATAACAGAATTTAGTAGTCTTACTAACAAGAGTGAACTATTTCTTACCATTGTGAAGTACGAGGTCACTCCTGTACTAGAGATAACAGGGTTTTATCCTTCGAATTAGTTAGTTTGGGGATAGTGAGTCCTGAACATCTGCTAGCTTCGGATACTCATTGTCTGCCCATCCTGCTCTTCTTGCAATACTTCCTGCCCTTGCCTTCCTGTGGTATGAGAGGATACTGGACTGCCTGCAGGAGTGTCTCATTCGGAATCGCCACTTTCCTCTTGTGGTGGTTCCTGTCCACAGGTGTTTTGTAATATTCTGGTACATCCCCAACTCCAGGGTTCCCTGCCTTTCCCAGTCTGGTACATCTCTGCCCTATACTACATGCCGAACTGAAGCACAGGCTCAGAATCTACAACTCAAGAGTTATAAAGCAGGTATGTTTATTACGGCACCGGGTCAAAGGGGGACCCCTCCTCCTAACTTGCACACCGAGGGGTTAAGCAAGCAGATATGTATTACACACAAACATGCATATTCATTAGGTTCCCGAGAGTTCGGTGGGGATACTACAATTACTTTGGGTACTCATTATAAGTCTCCTCCCTTTTGGCGCTTTTCACTGCCCTCCGATGGTCGTGGGCAGGGGTCTTCAAGATGCAGTAAGCAGTCTTCCTCAGGGTGCACTTTTCACCTTTGGCACAGTGGGATGCCCCAGTAATCACAAAAGTAGCTGAAACCAGCCGTATCTGCAAGTTCCGGGTTGCTGGCAAAGATTTAGACCAGTGTGACCTTCATACAAAATATATTGCCTCCCAAGCTAGCAGATTTTCAAGAGTCACTGTATCCAAACTAACTGATAATTAGAAGGATGGGAAGAAATAATTCACTAATTAAAAGGATGAAAGGAAACAATTCACTCTTGTTAGCAAGACTACTAAATTCTGTTATCACACCACAGACTTACAACACAAATATTGTTCTCTATCTTAGACCTAAGCTAAAAGTATTTTAATGCTATGTTTTCCAGGCACTTGCTTTCCTTATATCCAGTCCCCCCTTTTCTTTTACCTTTGCAAATTTTTTTGCTATGTAACTCCATTTTACTCAGGAGTTCTGGCAAAGTATTTGCCACTTTTGACTTTTTGTCTAACCTTATGTCTTTTCCGATCCTCATAATCAATTACGGACCTTTTACAACACCAAACAGAACACTGTATCATGTCACAAGTAATCAGTGTTAAAACAATTAGTATTAATATTTCTGCAACCAGTTGCCTCAAACAGGAGAGATTAGGTAACCATGAAGTTAATTTTTTTCCATATATCTTCAAAACCCCAAGAGGTATCATCCTTGGTCATCTCATGAAATATTGCAGTTTGTTTCCAAATTTCCCCCAGATCTGTTTCAATTCTGCCACTTTGTTCTATATAGGAACCATTGATTATGGAACAAACCCCTCCTTGTGAAGCCAATACCCTCTCTAGAGCCATTTGGTTCTTGTAACAATTTTGCGCTGACGTGTGAGCCTCCGTCAGAAGAAACTGCTGCTGGTACTCCAAAATGAGGTATTATCTGGTTTAATGCTTCTGGCCAGTGTGAAAAAGTATCCCTTAACACCAACAAATACCAATAACCTCCTTTTCTCAGCAATTAGAGGAAAATCAGTTTGCCATTGCTGTCCCGGATAACTTCCTCTCCCAGTTGTCCCAATTTGATTTCTATTTTCACCTAATGAGTTTTATTATGTTTCTCCTGAACTAGCTTCCAGAGTTGATTATAGGGACTCCGACGGGACACTGCCAGGCTTCTGGAGCCTCCCAGGTCCCAAGAGTGGAGGCATTCTGAGCTTAGGCACGAACATAAACCCTCAGCGACCACTTAAATCCATGAGGAGAGAGCATTCCTGAGCCACCTAAGCTTACAAGACTGCATCAGGGCAGCTGGAGAGGCAGGGAACCTGAGCAGAGAAACGCTGCTGGTACCTCTGAACCCCTGTTCAGGCGGATGGTGGCTCAAACATGGTTTTGCTCAAGGCTGCATCACTTTTCCCATGTGCTTCATCTTCCATTACACAATGAGCAGCATATATGCAATGCCTCTGAAAGGAATGATACTAAAACCATACAGGCACATTTGAAAGGCACTTTCAGAGCAGCTCCAGTCCCCTTGGAGAAGCACAGGAAGGTCTGCTCTTGGATTTACCCCTTTGATACCTAAAACCTGGCACTCCAAGCGTAATCTGGTAGAAGGGGAAGGCGCATAAGTCACAACTCTACTTTACAGCATTCCTGTACACTGTACTTATACCGGCCCCTCCACAGGGCTTGGCCACAACAGAGACCATGGTGATGGATCACACCCACTCAAGACAAGCTTTGTACAATGCCAGTAACATACCTGCTTCTTTCTTTAGCTTAAAAAGTAAATCAATACCTGTCGTGGTTTAAACCCAGTCAGGTAATTCGTTCGCTCACTTCCCCCCCCTTTCTTGCCCTCCCCCTGCTCTTGGAGGGATGGAGAGGAGAACTGAAAAGAATGCAACTCCCACGGGTTGAGATAAGAACAGTTTAGTAACTAAGGTATAACACAGATCACTACTGCTACCACCAATGATAATAATGATAAAGGAAATAACAAGGGAAGAGAATACAACACCTCAGCACCAGCTGACCGATAACTCGCCCCCCTCAGCCCGACCAAGCTCCGACCGATACCTCCTCCAACCCTGCTTCCTCCTGGCTTCCCCTCCTCCCTGGCAGAGCATGAGGCTCACAAAGTCCTTGGCCAAACCAAAACATCCTTGTTATCAGCTCTGTTCCCGAGCTGAAAGTCAAAACACTGCACTACACCAGCTACCAAGGAGGAGAAAAATGACTGCTACTGCTGAACCCAGGACATTATCCACCCCTTATTCCATACCATTCACGTCGTGCTCAGATCCCACATTTTCAATATACCATCACTCTTATCTCAGTGCACTCTTATCTTAGTGCATGGACCAGTCCCTATAAAGCTGCTGAGTCCATTTGGTCCATGATGTCAGGCTCCATCTCTTGTAACAGTCTTCCAGAGCAGGAGAGACTGTGTGCAGTGTTCACACTCGTGAATAACCTGGGCAATAGTGTCCATTGCTAAGTCCACCCCTCGATCATGAGTCCATCTCTATGTTGCATCTCTGCTCTGACGGCCTGAAGTGCCATGGGCCCACCAGGCTCAAAATAATTCACTGTCCCCTTAAGCAGTTTCTGCAGCTTGTTGTTGGGGACTCCACACAGCTGCCTTCCATCTCCGATGCTTCCAAAGCACTGGAGGGGCCCAGTGGACTAGATACTTGCCCGTAATTGTTATAAATTGGGACCACAACGGATCATAATCCAATTGAATTTTATTAATTATAGCAAGTAGAATATGAGCAAAGACAGCGCTGGACGACAGGGGAGTCTGCGCTCCGACAACTGCCGTGCTGAACAGTTCTAACAGTCCCTTTTTATCAGTCCTCCAGTTCCGCATTCGTATCTTCAACGGAGTACTCTGCGCATGCCCCAGTTGCTTGAGGCTGAAGGCTTGAAGTCCTCCTCGGTTACCTTTAGATATCCTTTTCCATATATGGTCTTCAACTTGCTGTGCAATAATTTTTAGAATTGTTTTGCAAAAGCCCTTAGTAAGCGTCTTGCGGTTTGTAAATAATTTTGGTGTCAACTTATGCAAGTAAAGCACTTAAGCAAAGCAATAGTTGCCCCCACCCATATGTCTGCCAGTTTTTTTTTTTTTTAGAACATCTTGCAGATATTTCCTCAAAACTTGCAGATGTTTCCTCAAAACTTGCGCAAGCGGTGTCTGGTTTAATCTGCACAAGCGATCACGGTTATCTTTTTTTTTGTTGTCTAATCTTTACATCAGGCTTAGCATAAATCTTAATAAACAATACCATAGTCCCTAGTTTTTCACAATCCCCCCTTTTTCTTTTTATCCTATTATTGTTTATTAGATGTTACTTTCATTTTCATTCTCAGTACTGTAAGCTAATTTGTTCCCACACTCCCAACACTTATCATAACATTCACAAGGTAATACCTCGCAGTTACATTCATAGCATTTTCGTGGTATAGTACATTCACAGTATTCTTCCTCTTCATTGATAGATACCTTCTTATACTTTGTTTCGAATTTTGTAGTTAGAATAAGCAATTTGGCTATGTCAAGCCTTTCCTTAATAAAATGTAAAATATAACGCAATATACAAGGTCCAAATACAAGTCCTAAGATTAGCATAATAAGCGGTCCTGCTAAAGTAGATAACAAAGTGGTTAGCCAGGGTGAAACATTAAACCAGTTCTCATACCATGACCTGCCCGTCTCACAATCTTTCTTACGTTGATCTAACCTTTTCCGGAGTTCAGACATGGTGTCCTGGACTACTCCCGTATGGTCAGCAAAAGAACAACATTCTTCATTGAGAGCTACACATAACCCTCCCTCCTTTAAGAACAACAGATCTAATCCTCTTCTATTTTGCAGTACTACTTCTGATAAAGACTTTACTGAAGTGGCTAAATTTTGGATAGATTGTTCTATTTTTGCTAAATCCTCATCTACAGCCATCTGCAAACTTTGTAATTCCTGACCTTTTACTAGGGAGGCTATGCCTGTGCCTGCTCCAACTCCGCCCGCTATCAGCAGTG